ACTGTGCCGCTGGCTTTTCAGAACAGGAGAAAAATGTAACTGGCCATGCTGTTCCCAGGACATTAATCCTAACCTTCACAGTGGTTGTTAAAATGCACTTATGAAAAGAAAAATGACAGACTTTACACATAAGCACACATATGAACATACAGTAGATACTGTCTTACATGTAACATAATACTTATATATTTGCACTATAAGAAACACACAAAAGGGCTGTAGAGTCGTGAAAGCAAGCTACTGTGTATTTTCTTAGATTTTTATTGATTTTTCTCAATAATAAAATACAATGTTAATAAATACATTGATACAAGGTAAGTATAGTGAACAACAAAATAAATGTTCAAATTGCAATAATACACTTCTTGGTCAATAGTATAACATTAAAGGCAACATTCCTTTTAAGTAAGGACATAGTGAACCATCAGGTAAGCGTTCAAGATCAAGTAATACAGGTAAACAAGTTTTTTCCCTATACAGGAAAATGAAGGCAAGTATTCAAATATAAATACAAACATCAAGTCTGCAGTACAATCCATACTCAGTAGTTCTGGCAATGTACTGTACATTCTCTGGTAATTAATTGCCTGTGCTTTGTAAACCATTAAGATAAAATAATAATAATAAAAAAAAAATCTAAACCGAAAATAAGCTTTTTCTCCTCTAAAGTGAAAGCAAAGTAATTTGGTTGGCACAAAATTTCCTGTATCCTTCAGCCAGTCCAAGGAGGAGCATGCAGGTCCAGCTTCCCATAGCAAAGCTGAGCCACATTCATTAGTAAAAGGTCCGCGACAGCATAAGTGCAATTCCTATCTAATTAATTACACCAAGCCAATTGTGTCTTTAAGGAAATGAATGCTGGTGTCCAGGGAGGCTTTTTTTATCTGCTATAAGTGTTTCGATATGGTCAACGAAATCTTTGCCACGGCTGGGCAAGTCCGGTAAGACCAGAGGCTTTGTGTAACAGGAACCCCTCCTCTGCCTGGCGTCGGGCTGCAATCTGGACAGGGCTTTGACCTCAAAACCTGCCAGTCTCTCTGATGTTTAATACAGGTCCTGTGCAGTACATTATAAACTACCATGCGATGCTTAATACAATCTCTTTATATTATTCTCCTTTTCATTCTCCATTAAACAATAGAAAATACAAATAAAAGCAGAACAAAAGCCACGCATCTTGAATAACGCAAGTTAAGCGGAAAGCGTATACCTACAACAGAACAACTGATAAAATAACCTGCCCGTCTACTGCATAAAGCATCATTGTAGAGCAGTAGAACATGTAGACGTCCACCTGCTAAACAACCTGGGTTTTGGTCTTTCAAAAAAAGCTAAAAAAATAGAAAAAACTCTCCATACTTATGAGCTAAGAGGAGAGCTGGATTTGTTTCGTTTCAAGTCAATAGAGGAAATGGTGAGAAAGTACACTTAAACATCAGTTTTTGTTTTTGTGCTAAGATCACAAGAAGTCACTTGCTCAAGCTCCCTCGATGGCTGGTCTCATTCGCACATAAACATCTCATAAATTATAGGCAGTGCTTATGATATTTTCCTTTTGTTGGTTTTTTTTAAGCCTTGCTCTTAGCAGGCGAGCAAAGAAGAGCATTTGAGGTTTTTACTTTTGCTTTTTAGGGTATTTTCTGAAGTTAGCCTACAAAGACTGCCACCAGTGTTACTGTTCAAGGTGAGGGGTGCAGGGGACAGAACTCTACCAGCTGCTGGGAATACAACACTACCAGTACAGATAAACTCAAATACACGCTTTTTGATACTGGAAAATCTACACCAAGAGTTTAGAAAACAAATGGCACTCAGTAGGAGGCGTCTTTGGCTCTACCAAGGTATTTCAGAGAGAAAAAGACCTGTGAATTTTATGTGAAGGGGGACACTGATATGAACTGGAGCCTCAGAGGAACCAGAAACCAGAGCATACTCATAACTGTATCTGGTGCAGCCTCGAAAGAGAGAGCCTTAGAGAAAAGAACATATATTAATATTCTTTTTGGCTGTTGCTATTTTTTTTTTTATTTTAAAATCTGAATTCTTTTGAATTCTTTTCCATTTGCTGAAATTTTCAGGGGGTCTGGAAAAAAAAAGCAAACAACACCCTGTGATATAGTATAAAACTAATATTTCAAAATAAAGTTCACGCTAAACCAGATAACTTCATAAAAACGTGTTCATTGTCGGATGTAATTTCTCCCCCAAGAAAGACATTGTTAAATACCCAATTAAGTAACACAATCATGCAACTGAACATGGAGGTCAACCATGCAGCTAACAGCAATGATTGCAAGTGTACCTGATTATCATGAATATTTTCTGCTCCTGGGCGAGGGGATGACTCTTCACACACAGCAAGACTCCGGACAAGTTTTCCCTTAGCTCCTGACTGAATAAGAGAGAGAAAACAAAACAGAGAACACTACTACTGACCCCAAGTCACACAAGCTGCGCATATCATCTGTCCCTAAATATCCCAAGCAACTACTACCCACCCACCCAGCAAAATTATATCTGCCTTCCACGCAGATAGAAGATGATTCTAAGCAACGAGCCATTTGCCACACTGGGGAGGTGGTAGGTTTCTTTTTGCTTTTAATCATTTCTGCTACAGTTCATTCCCTTCCACCAAAAATCAAAACAGCAAAGAATAGATAATCCAATACTGAACATAATTTAACATGAAGTTAAACTCGGAGGTTCCTTCTGTCATTTGGTTTGAGGTTATTTTGTTTGTTTTGTGGGTGTCATGTGTGTCCCGTCCCGTCCTGTTCCCCCCTCCCCTTCTCCGAGCAGTATTATATCCACGAAACATGAACAGTAAAATGTGACAGTTTTATGGGTCTGCACTTGAAAAATTAAAAGAAGGTTTTGGGTTGGTTTTTGTTTTTGTTTTTGTTTTGTTTTTTGTTCCTAGAAGCTCCTTCCTTCCCCCTTCCCCTTAGGGAGCTAGTCAGTCTCTGCTTCTTTATGTCAAGATTAGTCCGTTAAAATAAAATCCAAACAAAAGTTTTAATTACTAAAGCAAAAGGAAGGAACTTTTCCCTTCCCCAGTGGCACACACAAGCACTCATGCTGCCTAACACAAGCACACCACGAGCCCAGCATAAAAGTATGATGGATGAATAAAGGAGAGCCTGACACATTTTGTCTAGAAGTCGTCTTCTGCCTTTGTGCAACAAGATTATGGGGTACGGGGGAGGAAAAAAAAAACCCACCATAAACAAAAAAACCCAACCACCACACAAGTGATGAAAGGCCATCATTTCAATTGCAGACAGACATTTGATTGAAATTCTTTATCCTACCATGGCATGCAATTCCAAACAGAGATGGACCCTTACCTTGGATCTCTTTTTCTGCTGGTTCTGATTTGCACCTCGTTTCTGGGTATAGCAAAAAAGAGAAGTAGTTATCACTTCAGTGGAGAATGTGCACAAGAGCATTACCAATAAACAAAGAGACTAAATCGCTCCTAAACGACATTTTAAGCAGTTGCTGACTGCAAAAACAACTTCCCCAAACCCAGCCTGGAAAGCAGGGAAAACCAAGAATCATCTCTGCTCACTTTATTCATTTTAAGAACAGGTAAAAAACCAATAAAAATACACTGTACATTATTATATTCAAAATTACAGAAAACTGTAAGAAAAGGCATACTTAAGTAAATGCTCCCCCTCTCCAAATTCCTCTTAAATTGTAGTGTCCCCCTTTATTTTTATATTCGATTGAGCAAAAAGGCTTAAAACCCCCTCATCCGATAAAGTCTTCTTATCAAATTACCTTCTTAGGCTTTGGATAACAACTTTTTGTTGGCAGTAACACCTACAAACCAAACCACACATTAAGTAATTATTCATTAGTATTACCTGTAAATTCATGAGATCAAGGTAGTTTTCTAAATCCCCAAAGAGGGAAAACAGTCAAATATTTCACCAAGGTTTAACACAGACGTCTAGGAATTAACTTCTCAGAAAAATTAATAACATGGACAGCAGCCTAAAGAGCTTGAAAGGTATAACAAATAACAGCATTTATTTGTTAAAATAAAAAAAGAAAAATAAAAAAAAGAAAATAGACAGTCTCAAAATTATGAAAGGAAAAATATGGGAAGCGTAGGCAATGAAAAAGATCATAGAAATGGAAAGGCAATGGTAACACATTGACATTTAACGCACCCATTCACTATTCCTGTCTTACCTGCAGCTCTGTCTTGGCATCGCTGAGCTTCTCCTCCTTCTCCTCTACTTCCGAGCTTTCAGATTTATTAAGGATACAGTTGTCCGAGTTCCCTTCGGAGATGGCAGTCTCCTGCTCTTTCGCAGCTTCCTCTGCTGTCTCCTGGTTCAATTTACCTTGCTCAGACATTCTTCCAGACAGAAATTAAAATAACAAGATTTGGTGACCTGAAAGGTCAAGATACCACAGCAGAAAGAGACACATACAAAAAAAAACACTAGGGGTGAATTTTTTTTATTTTTTTTTTTTAATTCCCAAGTCAGTCATTTAATTTCTTTTGCTAAACAAACCAAAATACGCAGCTCAGGAGTGGAAAGCTATGTAAGTCCCAGCTGAAGAGATGTACTGAACGGAAAATATTCGATAACGTGATGCTATTTTGCTGTTAAACAATAAGAGCTCCGATCTAATCAGTCTTGAACAGAAGATTGAGGTAAGATGCTGCGACTTCCCAGACCTGTCTCTCCCACCCCAGCACCGGGACTGCAGAGGTGCAGGCAGGGACAGCAAGGGACTCTCTGCTATAGAACTCAGCCGCACCAGGCAGGAAGGACCCATTCAGGATTTCAGGTTCCTGGCATCTCAGTGCTCCTGCCCTTCCCCCCCCAGCCCTTTTTTTTTTTTTTTAATAACAAAAGAATAGCCAAACAAACAAAAAGCAAATGTGAGCAACAACACTGTTTTTAGCACTCAACCATGGTTTGTGTACATAGCAGCAGCCCATGGTGCTCACTACCATTTAAAAAAAAAAAAAAAAAAAAAGGTATTTGAATAGGTAATAATTCAATACAAATATAAAATCTATATTTGGCAACAAAGGTTTCACGGTCAACATTTTCAGCCATCAAACTGACAGCTCCATTATTAAAATCCTAAGCCTCTTCCCAAACCCCATGTCACTCTCCAGCACTATGAAAATCCTACAGGAAGCCTTTGGCAGGTATTTCTAATGAAGATATCTTAACTGAACTGCATTTAGTCTCAGCTCACAATGGGTTGTTGTACAGAAGCTTTAAAGGCTTTTCAAAGTTAAAGCCTATTATTATTTTCTCTCTCTTTCTCTCTCTCTCCCCCCAGCTCCCTCTTGAAGCCTCCCCCACTGATCAATTGTCAAATGAGACTCATGAATAATTTAACTTCTCTTTCCCCATCCATTTGGCTTAAGAATTATCTTAAGGAAAAACAACTGCGGTTGAGAAACGGAGTTGTTTCAGAAAGGGTCCTTTGCACTACCTTACCACTTCTCAACAATGAAACACTGACGATTAAGCAAAACCACACTTAGCCATGTCTCTTTTTACAGCTTGTAATTGAATGTTCAACAGACCTGACATCACTTACCTCTATTTTTTTAAGTTAAGTTTTAAGTGAAAAAAAATACAACCTACTGAGTTTTAAAAACTTACTTCTTCCAATTTTTGCTTTTGTTTTGATACTGTAAGCAAATAAAATAATAATCTTTCCTACATAATAATAATAAAAATCTTTCCTACATAATCTTCACTTTTAAGAAGGATTGTGGATTTTCACAAGAAATTAAGCTACACAGTTCCTAAATGACCCGTCTGGAATATGAAGCTCACAAATTAGCTCACAGTAAGCCAATTCAAGCTTTGAGTTGTTCTCCTTCCTCCCACCACCCTCCCCAGGAAGTCCCATGGTATTGGCCATTCTGCAGCTAAAACAAACTTGGAGTGCTTTGCTAAAAATTCAAAACATGATGGAATGGCAAGACCTGAAACTGGTCTGTTAGATAACCCTTAATTTGTTGCAGATTTCCATCAAGAAATGCACACGCATGCACAAGTTCTTCATAGGCATATTACCCCGGCAGCTCATCTGCATGCTTACACAGCATTCACAAAAACAATGACACTCATAGTTTATCAGCTTCACCAAAGAAGCCATTTACCTGAAAAACTGCTATAATTTCCACTGTCTTTCTAGTGTCTTCTGTTGCTCTTCGCTGGTTAAGTCCACACAAATGATCAATGACAACGTGAGTCCCATGTCCCCATTAACAGTTCAGAATGCCAATCTCCATACTGGTCCTTCAGAGAGCGTGACGGATCATAGTCAACCTGGAAAAAGACGAAAAGTAAATAACAACAAGGGTAATGATCATGGTACAAGGTAAGGATGCAATAGATAGGACCAGATTTCTAACACTAATGACCAGCTTCAAGCAAATCACTTTCACAGCTTGATCCAGCTCCACCTGTCTCAAAACTGCCTGCTTCTTCTCTAATGAAGGCTAGAGCCGGCTGTTCAAGTCATAACAGCTCCTACGCAAGGAGCTAAAATTAACAATTGCATTATGCACTGAAGATTACTCATTTCAATTTTAACCTTTTTTAGTGAATTCCAGCACTTTTCATTAAAAAAAAAGCATATATACATATTTATATATCAGCTCATCTGTTTGCTTCAACAGAAATCAATGAGGGTATTGAGGAAAAAGGACTTGCCTGCTTTTTAACTATGGCTTCTGCTCCAATTAAAATTTCAATAGTCAAACACTACTGAAAAAAGAAGCTAGGTGGGCGCTTTTAGAAAGTGACCTGCTTTGCCAGGGTAGTGAATCGAGATGTTCATTTAATAAACCGAATAAAAGTTGAAATGATCAAGAATGGGAAAAGGAAGAAATCCTATCCTCTGAAAAACGGCCACCAGAAAAAAAACCCAACTTTCTTTTGAGGCACCGTATGAGGACAGAAAAGGAGATCTCCAGGTTACGGTTTGGAAAACAAACCCAAAGAACGAGTCGCCTCAGCAATGCAGTTTCTACTCTTCATCAGGATTTTGTTTGCTAGCTGAATAGCTGATCTGACAGAAAAGGAGCATTTGGGGATGAGTTGGACCGATTTACAAACCCATGGCCATGTGCCGAACTGTCTTGATACAATAGTCACCTCTTCTCAAGGCTTGCATGTGAATCACAGTTGAAGCACTTAGCGCAAATACACAAAAACAGCAAATAGAAGGAAACATATCATTCCCCTTGGAGGAAAAAAAAAACAAAAAAACAAAAAAAACCCAAAAAACAAACCACACACCAAAACTGAAAGTCATCTCACTCTAATATTAGCTTCCTTGTTTCTGAGGCACATTTTAAACTGCCCTTGGTTGCAATTGCTATACAGTATGTGGCAGTACGCTGGAACTCACCACATTAAAAGAGATAAATTTCATGCACCAGAAATGGAATTTAGCCTTTCACAAAAATCAAGTCCTGCTCTCTCCGGGAGCTCAGGCACATAGAGGAGACCAGCAGGCAGTCCTATAAACTACCACTGCCAGCCTGCAAATTTATATACATAACAATATTTCTTTTCCTCAAACCACTTAATTTGTACAGAGTAATACAAAGTAAGTCTTCCCACTTGCTTTTTAGTATTTCTCACAGGACATTTTCAGAAATTTTCTCTCATTGACAAACACAGGGTCATGATGGGAGTGGCAAAGGACCAATATGGAAAATTACGCCTAAGCACTCAAGCACATGCAAATATATTTCATAGAGCCAATACTTGGACAGAAAACAGTGAATAAACCACTGGCTTAAAAACTTTTAACCCTTCCATTAACCCTTTCCCTCACACTTCCAAAAGAGGGATAGGGAAGAAAAAAAAAAAAAAGAAAGTATCAACCAAAACCAACCACAAAGCAAAAAACCCAAGGAAATGCAGTGCATCACAGTTTCAGCTGGAAAACAGCCAGCCAGGGGATAGCCTGCTGCAATCAAAACCCTCCAAAACTAACTGAAAAATAGATAGCTGTACCAAAATAAGGACACAAAAAAATAATTTCAGGATTCTTCAGTATTACCATGTGTTGTGAATTAACTATTCATATGACAAACAAACAGAGCAAAACAAAAACCAGACAACAAACCAACCAAACAAAGAGTATCATAACCAGCAAGTGAAGAGATCTGCCAAGACTCCAATAAACAGCATTTCTGGTCTTGTGCCACAGATGCTCAACATAATCTTATCATGCTTTACCAAAGACATATTTCTTCATAAACTGAGTTCCCCATATTGTTACACTTAAGATCTGATGCCAACATCATTTTTCACTGGCGATGTACAAGACGACCATAGAATCTTAAATTAAAACAACAAAAAAACCCATAAATTTCCCCAAGAAAACATAAGCAAGTGGAAAATAAGCTTACAGTATGCAGCTACCATTTTTCAAACCTGCACTGATAATGTTTCTTAGGATGATTCTTTTAAAAAATCCTTCATAATTATCTTCTGGGGAGAAAAAAAAAAAGGCAGGAAGAACTGAGATGCACAGCAGTCACAATCGAGCTCTTCACCTTCCTCAATATAAATTTCCTCCTCCTCCTCCATTAAGCAATTCACAAGTGATGACTAATCACTTACATACTACAATACGTAAAATACACTCTTGGTTGTTTGGGTGGGTTTGCAAAGGGACTCAGGTTTCTATAAAATACTTTCAGGGAGGGTATAAATAGCAAAAAGGAAACAGTCAGAAAATAGCCATTAAGAGTGAGACATTTTGATTGAAAAATACGTCTCTGTTTCTCGCGCGTTTCTAGGATATCTGGTTATTCAGTGATGAATGCACTTTTTACTATTCTCAGTCCTGCAGTGACAGCACTGCTATGGAAAAACATACTGGATTATTCTTTCTTGCACATCAACAGAAATGTCAGCGATGATTTGACTGTCAAAACCTTCAGTACCGAAGTGACGCAAAAGGCTGAACAAATGCACTTGTATTTTTGATCTTCAGGTAGAAACCACAAAGCTTGTTGCTAGGCAAAAACCACCTTCTTTATTTGCAAGTGAGCAAAGTTTCATAGGGGTGTTGGAATCTTAGCAGCGGTCTACAAGAGCTTGTGGTACAATTTCAGCCTAATTCCTTAAAGGAACTTGATTATCGCACACCGCAATGCAGCACAAAATACAGGTGCCCAGCAAACCTTTTGCAGAACCACTTTAATGGAAATATAATCTGTTTATACAGAATTTATAAAAAACAGCTGATAAGCATACAGTATGGGATGGAAATGCTGATGTGTTTTGTTTTTGTTTTTCTTAAACTGCTTTCTTTATTAACAGGATTTTCACTTTAGAAGCTGAGGGTACTACTGAGCTTGAGCAGCTACTGCCAGAGGTCAAAGAGAAAGGGATGGAAGAAGGCAGGTATGGTCACACACGTTCGTGCAACACACACCATGCAGATTCCAAGTAAAGTCTGTGGGAAGGAATACACTTAATGCAAGAGTTGAAAAACCATACCCAGAAGAAGAGCTGTCAAAAAAGCACAGAACAGAAATGAGCAGAGACATCAGAAAGCCCTCCTCAATGAACATCTGACAGCTGACCATCAACTGAAATTAAACAGAGAGGCATCTGACGAAACCCCAAGAGCCCACCATAGGAGAGTAAGCCCTTTTCTTGTATTATGTATCAGGAATCATTTTGATGGTCTCAAAGGTATCACATACTGAAGCAAGAATTTTGAGATCCTTATGCTCCCAGTAATTATCATCATGTCCTCTCTCAGAAGGGAAGATGAGGAGGCTTTAAGGCCAAAAAGCATACTCTTAACCAAGAGCCAGTAGCTGCAACAGGCAGGATCAAACCCTGCCAGAGTGAAACCCAGGGTGGTTTTTTTCCAAATAAAGCTTCCAAATAGAGGTAAAATCATTTGAGCCTGAACAGCTCCTGTAACTAAAAACTGGCTGATGTTGGCAGTACCTACATGTCAGAATCCTTCTCATCCCATAGTTATTCTACACTTGCATGAATGGCTCACAGGTACGAGCCCATGAGCTGGAAGCAGAGATGTCAGTCATGATTTCCATTATGCGATATATACCTCATCCATATGTATAAAGATAGCTTTGACTCATTATTGCTAACTAACTCATCAGATTCCTAGAAACCACTGGAAATGGACTATGGCATTCTCCTAAGATTATCAGTACACACCACCCTCAATGTTGCCAAGCTCTCTGGCTTAAAGCATAAACTTCCTGTTATTTGACCTTTACTTAAAAATTCCAGTTCCCACCATCAAGGAAATCTATGAAAATCTCAGGTTTCACACTGAAAACAAAAGCTTCAACTCTCTGTGGTGGCTTCAAAGAAAAACTTCAGGATATAAAACCTGTTGTTAAAAAAAAATAACAAACCACAAAACCCCCAAAAACACACCCCACCACCAAACACCAAAGAGGCAAGTAAAATAAATCCTAGAGTTTTAGTTTGAACACGCTACTACTCAGTTGTCAGCCCTAGTCATCAGGACCTACACCATTAGACAGGTGGTACTCTGTGCTCCTTCTCACTGTTTTCCCACACTTCCCACAGAAATACACATATGCACATAGAAGCCAAGTTTGCTGCTGTGTATTAGCATAGCATGATAATAATCCATGCCAGCTCTCACACCAAAATGCTTTAGTATGAAAAAGAAATTTAAAAATAACAAAAATAAAGGCTGTGAAGAATGTGGAATCCTACAAGTTGACTGGTTGTTAAAAGACTCAAGACTAACCCTTAAAAAACAAGGGCAAAGAATGCTTTTAAGGGAAGTGTTTGAAGCCTTATTTTATTTCCCATCTCCTGTCGTCTTCACTTTGTCCCCTCTCCATCATCACCACAAAAACAGATATACTGATTGCCTACGTTTTCTGCTCCTACGTGCCACAGACCTTTGCAGGTAAAAGGTTATTTAGACTCATTTACTGTTGGCACTTTAATAGAGACTGTCTGCAGACGCAATTTTTTTTTTTTTCCCCCAGGAGTTACAGAAACATGAGCATCTGTGTACAAGCAACAGCGCATAGGCCACTGACCCACCTTAAGCAGGCCAGCAAACAATCATCAGTGGTCAAATTTGATGAAAACAGGGCAGATTGAAATACATTGCATCAGGTTTCAGATCCTACACACCAACCAGTTGCCTTTTAAAGGAGACTAGGTGACATGAGGAGCAGCACCCCAGCTGAAGCCTCTATCCTGGAATAGCACTGGCTTTCCTCCCAACCTGCACATGAAATCCAGTATTTACAAATTACAGCAGGGATAAGAACAGTCTAACAACAACAACCAAAAAAAAAAATCCAACACCCAAAACAAAAAAACAGAAACAAAGCAATTTTTTTGTGGTTTACACTTGATTTCTTTTTTTCCAAAGGGATTCTCTAGTTCCTAACAGATTGCCACCAATGTTTTCCACTTTAATCCCCTGTCAGAAG